TAAGGTTGGCACAATAATGCGATTTTAGATCATTTAAACCACTTTTGAAATCCGCCTTCAAACCTTAACTTTTTTAAGCGCCCCACCAGACCCCATTACAAAAGTCGAAAGTTCTGACTTCTGTTCTTTGCCATATCTTTGTCAAGAAATTTTCTAATTAACTGGTACATGATGTTCATATACTGATGCGAGAAAAATTTTTAGATATGTTTCTGAATTGATTAGGTTTGAGATTGACACTACTCATCAGGTGAAAATTCACAAGGACACCTTCAAAAAGGAAAAGAGATCATTATAAAAAAATAACAAAAAAGGGAAAAAGAAGAAGAAAGAAAATAAAAGTCAAGAAAAAAAAAGAGAAGAGAGAAAGAAGAAGGAAAGAAAATAAAAAGGTGGGGGTAATCTTAGTGCAAACCCGAAAGGGCACTAAGATATGGTTTCCCAAGGAAAGCAAAGAATGTAATAACTGGCAATTCAGTTCATTTGGATTCCTATTCACATTGAAATTTTTCTGCCAGCATTGAATTCCCGACGGACGATATCTAAAAGGTCAAACAGGACAATTTGTTTGAGGTCAAAGTATTTTGGTTATCAAATATAGATTGTTGAGTTTATGATTCATCACTCTAAGATTATTTTTCCTTCAATACAAGTTGATGGTTATTTTTGGCATTACATTGACTTTTATTATTTTGTATAAAAGAAAATTTTTAGGTGTTGTAGGGTTTCATTTGTCTCATTGGATTTTATCAAATAACAATCTCCACGGTTTATCGAAAGTGCATATGTATAAATTTTCATATTGAGTTAGCATTGGAAGCTAAGACAGCCTGGATATGATTTGCAGCACAAGGCTGGATTTTGCAGCATCGAGGACAAAACATTAAAATATTCATGTTTACACGTTTCTTAAAAGCTAGACAGGTCGAATTGTGGTGACATTATTTGTTCTTTCTTTTGCAGGTCCTTACGTGTTTTAAATAACAAAATTTGGGCAAATTTTTTATATAATCGTGGAATGTCGTTCAAGAATTGAATATTTATGGTTCAGACCGAGGAAGAGGTGTGAATGAAATTCTTAAGGAGGAACAAAAATGCCATAATGCAAAGTGAATGATCGGTTGCACAACAATTGGTTGAAACTGGGGCAAATTTTTCAAAAAAATTCTCCAAGTGAGTATTCAAAAACTTTTTCATGCACTAACGCTTCTTTCTTGGCAATTTAATTTCCTGTTGGTGAGTCTCAGCGTCTGCCACACACCCTTCTACCCTCTTTCTTAGCAATTTAATTTCCTGTTAGTGAGTCTCAACTTCCGCCGCGCACCCTTTTACCCTCTTCTTGGCAATGTAATTACCTATTGGTGAGTCTCAGCGTCCACCGCGCACCTTTCTACCTTCTTCTTAGCAATGTAATTTCCTGTTGGTGAGTCTCAGCGTCCGCCACATGCCCTTCTACCTCCCTTCTATCCCATTTCTTGGAGCGTAATCGCGTCTCTCCGCACATATTTTTCTAATTATGTCAATTTAATTTGCTTGACCGTTTTGACTAAAAATTGTGCTTTCTCATGATTAGAAGTTCTGAGAGTTCAGACTCCTTCGATTCTGCAAAGATCATAAGTGGTCAATGCACTTGTTTCATTATTGTTCACTGGTATTTGAACTACATTTGACCTGATTCCCATAACGGGATACGTAGGTAACTTTACACGAGTTCGGTCGTGTCTCTTGTAATATTATTGCATTATTCTCGCCCAATAATTTTAGCTAAGTGTTGGTTTGTTATTTTAGCTTAGGTGCAGTTAGAAGAGACAAATAAGTATTTTGACGTCTACGTTTTTGTCTCTAATTTCTTTGAAACTCAGACAAAGAGGGGCAAGTTGTAGATACCAAAATTTCAATGCTATTTAATTTAATTTAATTTTATTTTATTTTCATTAATCAAAAATTGCAAAGTGATAGTTAGCTATTTTTATTGAATTAGGGTTCATTTTCTATTAAATAATTTTCGAAAAAAGAAAAGTCTCACAAAAATTTGTTTTTAAGTTTTTCAAATTCAATTTCTTCCAAATAAAGTGGAAATTTACAAAGCAATTTCAATTAGTAGTCTAACATTTTATTTACCCTAAATTTATTTTTAAAAAAATAAAAAGAAAAACAAAAATAGGTGGAATGCATGTAATATGGTTAGGTGGAGTGCATGTAAATGATCCATGTGATTTTGACATTTTGCACATCACAACATTCAAAGGATAGGTGGCAAGACAGGTGGAAGATGGAGAAAGATCTGGAAACAAAAGGGAAAAATCAGGAAAACAAGGCAAAAGGGAGCGAGCAAGAGAAAGCAAAGGGAAGAAAAAAGAAGGAGAAAGGAAAAAAAAGAAGAGGGTTTTCGCTGAGAAAGAAAGAAAAGGGAGAAAGAAAGAAAAACTGAGGAGGGAAACAAGGGAACCTAGGGAAAATCTGGGAGAGAGGTTCAGGCCAAACAAGAGAGAATAGGAAGAAAGGAAAAAAGAAGAAAAAGAGAAGAAGGAAGAGAAGGCTTCGAGCGAGGGGAGTTTTGGGAAGAAAGGGTGGAGGAGGGGAATCTGCTGGAGCAAGAAAGGAAGAGAGAAACTGGGAGGAAAAGAAGAAAAAGGGTTTCGGGAAAAGAGAGGAAAAAGAGAAGAAAGGAAATAAAAAGGAGAAAACCAGAAAAAGAGAGGAAAAAGGGAGGAAGTTTGGGGAGGATTAGGGAGAAAAACAGAAAGGCAAACGAAAGGAAAAGAAAGACAAACAAAGAGAAAAGAGGGAAGAGAGAATTTCTGCAAATTTTTTTTCAGAATCAGGTTGGATTTTCATCACCTTGAGATGCAATTTTCACAATTGAATCGATCTCTTCTTGGATGTTTTAAGCAATCTAGGATATTGATGAAGTGAGGGGAGCAATTTTTATTTAGACATTGTGGAGAAAAAGCGTCAGGAAAGCCTCCAAATTTGCCTTCCAAAGTCGTGGATCGGTTTGACTGATGCATCTACAAATCTGCAAAAATTCTTCAAAAAGTGTCTCTGTTCGTTCCTTTGGCTCTCATCACATCTAGGATTCATCTTTAGGTAAATCTTACGCGTTTTCCTCATTCATTCCAGTTCACATGCAAAGATTAAACTCATCAAAAAGGAATTTTTCTTTAGATTATTGCCTCGCAAGTCCATAGTGTTGGTTGTATGATTTGGTTGGGTTTGATGCATCTTATTTGACTAACAAATAATGAGGTTTAGAAGTTGATGAGAAACTTATCTATCTTGAATGTGTGTCCTTGTTGCTTTTGCACGTCTTGTGGCTCATAATCAAAGCTTTGTTTTGAGAATTTTTGTTGGAAACTTATGAATAAAAAAGCCGTCAGCTTTCTTGCTTTCTTTCCTCCGTGAAACTGAATGGATGTGATCCATGGGTTGTGGGTTCTTTTCCTAGTATCTTGTTTGTTTTTCATGATTTGGGTTTTAGGCTGTTTTCTTGAAGGGTTGGGTTTGAAGTTTTAGCCAATGTTCATCTCACTTTGCTGCATTTTTATGTCCAGTTACCTTGTTAGATTTCTGGGGATAGATAATTGTGTTTAGGTGATGTTAATAACGATGGGGTAGAAGTTCTTGCATTTGGTTTTAGTTGTCGAATTAGTAGACGTTGCTTGAGTTATTTCGCACAAACATATCTAGGCGAATGAGGAAAGATTGCTGAAGTCTCAAAGCAACGAAAGTTGCAGAAAGCTTCTTCGTAAGATTGCATGAAAATTTCAGAAAAATTGCATTTTAGACCTTCAAGTCTTAAGTAATGCTATGGGCTAAGAATATGGAAAACTCAATCAATTTTACCCTTTTTGAAATTCAATCAATCCTTTTATATTTTAACCATGTTTTAGACCTATTGCTGCTATGGCCCAAGAATATGGAAAACTCAATCATTAATTTGCATTTTGTTTGATAAAGTTGAATCAACTACTTGGTTTGAATTAACTATTAATTTGCATTTTGTTTGAATTAACTATTTGTTTAGTTTAAATGGCATTTAATTTGAAAATTTTAGGAACCTTGAGTTGACTTCAAATGATTTGTTTTGTGTTTATCAAAGAAATTGGTACCTTGACCATTTCCTTTGTTTTGAGGATAAAAAAGAGAATTTTCATTTTATTAGGTCACCAATTCAAGGGAGGTACACTCTACTGCTTATTTTTTATTTTAATTGATCCTATGAGAATTTATGTGTGTAATTGCATGTTTTTATGTTTTTTATTATTTATTTTGTTTTGTTTATTTATTCACTTTATTTGTTTCTTTTAATTTCATATATTCATTTTAATTTAATTTTTGATTATTTAAGAGTCAATTAAATGTTAAATTGTAATAGTTAGATTATTATTTTATTTTGTTTCGTTCTTTCCCTCTTAGATTGTAGTTAGGGTCCCCAAATGTAATAGTTAGGCCTTTATTTGCTCTTATTTGCTTTGTATGTGCTTGCATGTTTACGTGTTTACTCACTTTCTTAGGGTTTTTGCATCTATATATCATGCTCATGTGCTATGTGCTCTATGTGATCTATGTGTTTACTTGCTTTTATCATATTTTATATGATTTATTAATTATAATAAATGCATGATATCACCACACTAGTCCAATGCTAGTTGTGGGTCTTTATTCCAATTTCTCACTAGTCTACTGCTAGTTAGAGCTTATAGACATGTGTTAGTCTAACACTAGATCCTTAGGAACCGTTCACGCATTAGATCATGTTTGTGCGGTAAAATCACTACATTTCATGCACATTTTCTACTTTTAGGATCCTTACCATTTTGTATGATATTTTCCTTATATATATCCTTTATCCCTATATGTAAAATATGACATTTAGACGTGCATTTCATTTAAGAAAATTAGAACTAGGATATTTTTTTTTTGGCTAACTCCGTCCATGAGGGGGGGATGCCACCCCCGCTTTTATTCATAAATCACAAAATACAATGTTTCTTGCATTAAGGGGTTCGCACCCTCCTAACAGAAGGAGCTCTCATGCTATCTAGGCTAATTCCTCCACGAGCCAGCCTCAGCCATTCATTCCAATGCTCATAGAGCTTAACAACATGGTGGGGGTGTGCTACCTCAACATTAGCCAGAATATCTGTCACATTATTTGCCTTTCTGAAACAATGGACAAGTCTCGACGGATCTCCTGCCAGCTTCCATATTTGCTGGACCTCCCAGCGGATATGCCAATGACAGTGAAGCTGGAGTTGAAGAATCCCCACCAAAACTAGAAAATCCAGTTGAATGCTAACATTCATGAACCCCTTTTGAGCATATATCTGAAGCCCCGTTAGAAGTGCCAGCGTTTCTGCCTGGACGCTAGATGTCACTCCAAAAAAAGCCGAGAACCCTACCATGGGGTGTCCCGATGGATCCCGTAGCACTCCTCCGCCACCACATGGCCCAGGATTACCCTTGGAGCAGCCATCCGTGTTCAGGGTAAGTGCTCCCATTGCAGCTGGCTCCCAACAAACAAGTTTGAGCTCGAAACGCCGCTCCGACTGAGACGACCAATCACACAACTGCAAGAATGATCGAGCCCCAACATGTTGCTTGAACTGCCCTTCAAGAAGTAATTTGGTCTCCAAAAAAATATCTTGGCAAATAGAAGGAGGATGCAGTTGAATGCCCTCAAAAACTGCTCTATTCCTAGCCTTCCAAATGTGCCAACAAAGTATGCTCGGGAGAGTATGATTGATAAGTGGATATTTAACGTACATTTTGTATGAATTTGGCATTAATTTTTGGTATGATCTGAGAAGATTAAGCCATATTTGAACTCTTTTGGTGATAATTGCTTAAATATTGATTAAGGTTTCAAAAATTGATAAATGAGTGAATTAATGCATTAATTTTGTGAAATTGTGAAGGTAATTGATGTATGAAATTCATGCACATCCAGAGGACAAAGTATACAAGAAATTGGGAGCAAAAATGTAGAAAAAAAGGAAGAAGTGAAAAACTGGAAAAATGTTCAACACGGATCCGATCTCGGATCCGTGTGAATAAGAGGGATCCGACCCCTCGTCTGTACTTCTGGCGGAGCGCATCCGAGGTCAGGACGATCCGACCTCGGATCCATTATGAAATCCCTCGGATCCCTCGGATCCGAGCTCGGATCCATTTTCACTCCTCGGATCCGAGACTCGGATCTGTCTCTCTCCTCAGCAAGTGTCACAGCTGTTTTTCTTTACCTTTTTCACAACTTTCCACCTATTTTGAGGGCCAGAAATCGGTGGCACATTCTTCTGCAACAAAAGAGAAGACCAAATGAGTATGGACAAAAGGAAATATCATATCTTTGACTTCTTTTTACAAAATCTGAGTGGAGGAAATTATGAAGTGAGAGGAATGGAATTTCTTCCACCTTTTATGCAGAAACACAGAGGAGAAGCCTGGAATACCATACGTAGCTAGTTTTCTTTCTTGTATCTAATTTTCTCTCTAGATAGGAGTTCTTGGAGAAGTACTTGGAGAGTTTCACTTATAATCATATTGTGCAAGAACATAGCAGGAATTGGAGAGTTTCACCTTCAATTGGCTAAGCTTTCTTTTATCTTTCTTATACTTGTACTTTATGAGGTTTTGCATTAATAAACTTGTGAGTTTGATTGTTAAATCATTCATGAGTAGCTAAACTCCTTCATCTAGGGAGTAGATGAAACTTATGGCTAAATAATACTAATTGAATGTGATCTACACTTGTTATATCTTGTATTAATTTGTCTACTTGTGTAGCTGTGATTACTTGTTATTGATTGATCACCAATAGCATGTTTATAGTGTTATTATTCAATGAGAATTGGTAATAACAATTGAAACACATGAGTAGAGCTTGAGTTGTATGTTCATGAAAATAGAGATACACTTAGGTGGATTAGTGAGCATTTCATGAAATAAAACGGAGTAGTAGTAGTATTTCACCATGAAAATAGGGAAATCTATATTGCTCTAGGCCATTTCATCATGAAAATGAGACTTGGTAATCTTGGAAATAAATCTCTGGTTAAGCAAGAATAATAGCAAGAAGTAAATCCATTCATTTGTGTAGTTTATGCCATAAGTGGAATCTACATCCCTAGAATCTTCCTTAAGTGAAATTTATCTATTCGCATTCAGCATTTGTTAAACTAGATTTGTATATCAGATTTGTAGATTACAGCATTAGATTTTCTCTGCTCAAATTAATTGTAAGTCTAAATAATAGAGAGAACAAGGGCTTAGTAATTGTTTAAATTGCTCCTCGTGGGATCGACCCGATACACATTTTGTACTACAATTGCAACCTGTATACTTGCAGTCCAACGGGTGTCAAATCGGAATTAAACTTGCATTGATACAAAAATCCCGTCAAGTTTTTGGCGCCGTTGCCGGGGAGCGGCAATATTAGGGCCTAATCATCTCTATTAATTTAGATATTTTTTAGTGTTTTTTTTTATTTGTTGAATTAAAACTGAAAAATTTCTCTTGTTTTTGTTTGTAGTGTATGCACCGATCAAATCGAGAAGTTGCACATTTCGATCTTGAAATTGAAAGAACATTACACAGAAAAAGGAGGAGTACATCACATCAAGAGGAACAAGAGGTTTGGCAGCCAATAGAAGATATTCTGATAGAATTACAATTTGAAGAAGACATGGCAGAAAATGAAGCAAATAGGCGAGTTCTACGAGATTATGCTCTACCGGGAACACAAGGATCTCAAACGAGCATAGCAAGGGCTACGGTAAATGCTAACAATTTTGAGATTAAACCATCACTTATCCAAATGGTTCAACAATCTCAATTTGGAGGTAATGCAGTAGAAGATCCTAATACACACTTAGCTACATTCTTGGAAATTTGTGATACAATTAAAATGAATGGAGTTAGTGATGATGCTATAAGGCTAAGATTGTTCCCATTTTCATTGAGAGATAAGGCCAAACTTTGGCTACACTCTCATGCTCCTAATACTTTCACCGGATGGGATGATTTATCAAGAGCATTCTTAAATAAGTATTTTCCACCAGGTAAGACTGCTAAGCTAAGAATAGATATCACTAGTTTTAGCCAAATGGAAGGTGAATCATTATATGAGGCATGGGAAAGGTTTAGAGATTTGCTTCGGAAATGTCCACATCATGGACTGCCGGAGTGGTTAATCATACAAACCTTTTATAATGGTTTATCTTTCTCCACTAAAACTATTATTGATGCAGCCGCAGGTGGAGCTTTAATGGGTAAATCACCCCAAGAAGCTCAGAATTTGATAGAAGAAATGGCCGCAAATAACTACCAATGGGCCAATGAAAGAGGTAATACAAGACGTCACGCAGGTATGATAGAAATGGACACTCTCAATATGCTGAGTGCTCAAATGAATAATGTGATGAAGTTGCTAAATAAACAAGGTGGAGTTGGTCCAAGTTCATCTAATGCACATGCAGCATGTTGTTCTATATGTGGAGGTGAACATGATATTAATGAGTGTGTTGATTCTGAGCAGGTACAATTTGTCAATAATTACAACCGAAATGCTCCAAATAATCCCTACTCGAATACTTACAATCCGGGGTGGAGAAATCATCCAAACTTTGGATGGAAAGATCAAGGCAATCAACAAAGGCCAACCAATCCGCCGGGATTTCAACCAAGGCAACCACAGGCTGAAACTAAACCAAGTTGGGAGATCGCGGTGGAAAAACTTGCTAAGGTGACTTCGGATAGATTCGAGCGAGTTGAGGGGCGGTTGGACCAATTAGCTGGGATGTACAGAAACTTGGAGGTTCAAATTGGTCAAATTGCCAATGTGATCAACAATAGAAACCCTGGTGAATTACCAAGTAAAACCGAAGTGAATCCGAGAGAGCATGTCAATGCAATCATTCTTAGAAGCGGTAAAACGGTTGAGGGATTCGATTTTGAAAATTCAGGTGGTGAAAAAGACAAGAAGCAAGCAATTGAAGGGGAGCAAGAAAGTCAAAATGATCATGTTATCATTGATATTGATGCACTTCATCCCAAATTAAATTCTAATGTGATACCTTTTCCTCACAGGTTGAAGAAAGATGGACAGGATCGGGAGTTTGAAAAGTTCTTCAAAATGTTTAAACAATTGCACATTAACATTCCTTTCATTGATGCTATAACACAGATTCCCTCTTATGCACGTTTCTTGAAAGACATCATGTCAAAGAAGAGGAAAATTGTAGATAATGAGATGATAGCATTAACGGAAGAGTGTAGTGCATTGATTAAGAATAAACTCCCTCCTAAATTGAAAGATCCGGGAAGTTTTTCTATTCCTTGCACTATTGGTCAATTGCATTTTTCTAATGCTTTATGTGATTTAGGTGCAAGTGTGTCACTTATGCCGTTATCGGTTGCCCGGAGATTGGGACTTCAAGAGCTAAAAGCTACCAATATTACATTGCAATTGGCGGATCGGTCAATCACACGTCCCATGGGTATTTTGGAAAATGTGCTCATAAAGGTAAGACAATCTATAATACCTGTGGATTTTGTTGTCTTAGATATTGAAGAAGATGTGAGAATGCCAATTATTCTAGGACGACCGTTTTAGCCACTGCACGAACTATAATTGATGTAGAAAATGGTAAGCTTATATTACGGGTTAATGGTGAGGAATTGGAATTCAATTTGGATAATAAAGAAGGGAATATAGAGCCTACTGCTCTTGTTTCTAATATGCCATATGATGAAAAGGTTAACCAAGAAAGGACCGAAGAAGTTAAATTTATAAATGTCCTTGGTACTAACTTTCATGGTGTAGGAACAAAGGAGGAGAAGATAAGGATGGAAGTTGGCTTAATAAATTCGCCATTCCATGAAGAAAATGGTGAAAAGTTGAGCCAATTCAGAAAAGACAAGCAAAATCCACTCCAAGGTGAAGTTGAGCCTCTCTATGACAAGTCTAATATTTCTCCTTGGCATTTGAGGAAATTGGACTATGAAGATCAATGCATGGTTCACCACATGGTGGATTGGCTCGGGAGTTTCAACCCATGGGGAGAAAATCTCTCTCTAATGCTCTAAAGTGATTCAACTTTTTCAGTCGAGCCAACGACTATAAACAAAAGCGCTAATTGGGAGGCAACCCAATAATAATTGTGTATTTGTGTGTTTTTATGTGTTTCTTACATTTTGGTGGGATTTAATTAACTAATTAGATGTATTTCACTTGTTTGTAGGAGATACGGGAGTTTTATCATCCATTTTGGAGGTGCACTTGAAGAACATGTTGGCAGGGAGTTTTTCTTACCAGCTTGTGTTTTAAGTGCTTAAAATTCCCATGCATATACATACATTGTGCATTTCAAGTATATTTAAGTGAGTTTTGGTGATATCATGGTTATAAAGGCTCATGGACTCATTTGATATACATTTAATGCCCAAAACTGCCATTTTAGTGTAAAAATGATCAAAGAACCTCACCCCTCGATTTTCAATGTAGATATGTTTGTTGTGTTTTGAGAGGTTGGATATTATGTTTATGGTATATTACATGTGCATGGGACGTTGGAATTGAGAAAAGGGATGTCCAATGTGTAATTTGGAATTGGCCGAAAAAGGGAGAAAAAGTTTAGAAAAATTGCAGTTTCTGCAATTAGTGCAGAGAAATACAGATCCGAGCTCGGATCCTAAAAAGCCAGACAGATCCGACCTCGGATTTATAGATCCGAGCTCGGATCGTTTCCAACCCAGATAGATCCGAGGG